AAATTTTCTTATTATGCAGAAAATACTCAATATGACGTGGTAATAGGAAGAAGTTTCATTTCAATCGCGCGTGGGATCCACACAACTATTTTTTTATTAACATATATATATTTGTAGATGCCCACTTTCAAATGCTCTAGCTGAAAATACAATTAACTTTCCACCTCCAAGATCGTTGCCACATGAAGGAGATCTGATGCCGTCTGTGATTGTTGCTGATGACGCCTTTCCACTTAAACCATATCTCTTAAAGCCATTTTCTTATCGCGAACAAGTAATGTCACACAAAATCATTAATTATAGACTTTCTCGAGCCAGAAATGTGGTGGAAAATGTATTTGGCATTTGCGCGTCGCGGTTTAGAATCCTTAGACGACCAATGGATGTTAAGCCTGAGACTTCTAAATTCATAGTTCTTGCAATATGTGTACTGCATAATTTTCTAATATCAAGAAATTCAGTATATTTTAAACGAAGGGATGTTGACAGTGACATAAACGGCGAAGCATTGCCCGGTAATTGGCGAATGGAGCTCGGTCAAAGCGAAACTTTAAATTCTATTCGATCAAGCAGTTCTTTAAGTCGCCCGGCAGATGATGCATTGCAAGTACGACAATTATTTATGAAGTACTTCATGACACCCCACGGAGAGGTACCCTGGCAATACAGCAGGACAATTCTGCATAATTCATTCATTCATTTATAATTCATTTTAAACATACACTTGTGATCAGCTAATTAAGCCAGCAACATTTTGGTAATTTTGGTTATCTTTCTTTTGTTTATTTAATGTTTATTTTTCCATAAAAGTCTAGCTCATTATATAACAAACACCATATTAATCCAGATTTCAAACTTTGTGCAAAAATTATGAAAAATCTGCAAAGTCGGCTAAATTTTCAACATTTTATGCAGATTTTGTTGTTGTTGTTGTTGTAGCGGCTACAACAACCCCGCCCAGATCGGTTGGTATCTCAGTCGTTGTCGTCAAGTTCCACTAACGGCAACCCTAGGAAGCGTGCAGCTTCTGTGGGATCTGTCCACATGGACAAGGCCGTTAGGGTTGTCGGGTTTTCCGGGCATACGAAGAGATGGTTCGAGTCATGTGGGGTCTCTCCGCATGCCGGACATTCGTTCGGCACATCCTCATTCAGCCTACTCAAGTAGGAGTTTAACCTGCTGCAGTAGCCGGAGCGAAGTTGAGCGAGTGTAGTGCGTGTCTCCCGAGGCAGATGAAGCTCTGTCTCGTCAATGTCCGGGGGTGGTATGCCTAGAACGGCATTCACAGGTCTAGAGTCTACATAACTCGAGACTGAGTCCCTGTGAATGCCGTTCAGGGCCTGTCTGTACGCTGTCGGGTCCAGAGGTTGCTTAATGAACCTCTGGACTTCGTCCGTCAGTTCATATAGATGCCTCCTGACGTGCCTAGGCGAGGGCTCCTCTGCAAGCAGCTGTCTGTTTGGGTGGCCACTTCTGTGGCTCCCGATCAGGAACTGCTTGCAGAGCATTATGTTGTGCTCCTTAACTGGGAGCATTTGCGCCTCGCCGTGCAAGTGGTGTTCTGGCGACATCAGGAGGCATCCCGTCGCTGTCCTAAGTGCCGTATTTTGTACCGTCTGTAGCTTCGTCCACTGCGTCCTACTAGTCCCTGGCGACCACACTGGCGCTGCGTAGTTCAAAACCGGCCGGCCTATTGCCTTGTATGTTGCCAGCAACGTTTCTTTGTCTTTGCCCCAAGTACTGCCGGCTAGCGACTTGAGGACCTTGTTGCGGCTCTGTACTTTATTGACAATAGCGGTTGAGTGCGCAGAGAAGGAGAGCAGGCTGTCGAATGTTACTCCGAGTATTTTGGGGTTATTCACCGTCGGAATTGGTGTGTCATCGACGTGAATCCCCAGCGGTAGCCTGACCTCCTTCGTCCAGGTTGTGAACAGGGTCGCGGAGGATTTCGTAGGGGAGAGGGCTAGACACTTTGCAGTGAAGAAGCGAGAAAGTTCGGAGAGATAGCCGTTTACTTTCAAACACAGGTCATCAATTCCATTCCCAGTCGCCATGATCGAGCAGTCGTCGGCATAGGAGACAATCGAGACTCCCTCTGGTGGTTGAGGGAGCTTTGAAATATAAAAGTTAAACAGTAGCGGGGAAAGGACACCACCCTGAGGAACCCCCTGTTTTATTTTTCGCTGCTTACTCGTTTTGTCTCTAAATGTTACCGACGAATGTCGACCACTCAGATAATTTGCCGACCACCGTTTGAGCCTCTGTGGGAGAGAGGAGGCCTCTATATCTTCTAGCAGCGTGGAATGGCAGACGGTGTCAAACGCCTTTGACAAGTCCAACGGAGTATGCAGTTTAAAAGCCCATTAAATTCTAGGGTAATAATGTGCAAGTCTTAAGTTGCTAAAAAATCGCGTTGATTTTTAATAATTTTTTTTTTCATACAAAAAAAATTGTAATGCAGTCAGAAAAAAAATATCAGCAACTTAGCGATTAGCGAATTTAATGGGCTATTAAACTGCATACTCAGAAAAATACTAAAAAAATCTGCATAAAATGTTGAAAATTTAGCCGAAACTTTGCAGATTTTTCATAATTTTTGCACAAAGTTGGATTTATATGGTGTTTGTTATATAATGAGCTAGACTTTTATGAAAAAATAATAAACATTAAATAAACAAAAGAAAAATAGACAAAATTTATCAAAATGTTGCTGGCTTAATTAGCTGATCACAAGTGTATATACATATTGGATGATTTCATAGTATTTTGGCAATTTATTTATTATTATTTTTGTGAAATTTGTGCAAGCTTTGAATCCAAAAGCATGCGAATTGAGCTGGAATGCCCCACATGCCAAACTTATTAAACTATGACTAATATAATAAAAGTAAATATGTATATAAAATACTGCTAGAAATAAACAAAGTATTCACTACTTTCTTAAAAATGTAAACCAGTTCTTGCATTTGTACTGTTATTTTATCTCAGTATCACATTTTTTTCATTTGGCACATTTGATCAGGTAATAAAGTCCATACATACAGTGACGAACAAATGTATTGGCACAGTGAATTTTTCGCAATATATGCAATGATATATAAAATCAAATCTCCAAACTTTGTGCAAAACTCAGGAAAATTCAATAAATTTGCAACTTTTTATTAAGACTTTTTAGAAAAATTCTAGGAATGCAGTTTTATAGCCCATTCAATTTTGAGTGAGTGCGAAAAAATTTTGTATACAGTCCCGAAAGGGTCCCAAACCGAGCCCCAACTGGTCCCAAACTACTCCCTAACTAGTGCCGAGCTGGGCCCAACCTAGCCCCGAAATGGTCCCCAACTAATCCTGAAATGCTCCTGAACAAGTCCCGCCTTCTAAGACTTAAAACATTTTTTCACGCTCATAATTATTATGAAAAGACTTTTATAATATAAGTCCTTGAATAATAATTATAGATGACTCAAAAAAATTCAAATTTATATTAATATAATGATTATTGATGGACTTTTATTCTTTTCTCTTATAATGGTTATGTTTCTGGTTCGAGAAAATGGCGTTGATTTTTGGCAATTTTTTTCACGCAGGTCTTCCATACAAAGTGTTAAGTTTAAAATAACTCACCAACGTTGAAACTGCTGAGTGTTGCGATGCTTTAAATAAAGAAACTGCTCCTGCTGCGATTCCTGCGGGTGGTAGTTGATTGTTGCCGCCGAAGGTTATCTTGCCAATATGTTGGCTGAGCCGTTTTCCAACGCTCGCTGGATTTCGCCTCGCAGCAATTAACTTCTCAAGGGGCTACGCCCTAGTAGCCGAAAATAGCAGGATATTTTAAATTCTTTTCACTCGCGCAACTACTTACGGTTTTAGAAAAATGAAACACTTTGATTTTAACTTTAAATTACAAAAATGAGTTGAGTTTTATTTGCGCGTGTCCGCCAGGTTTGAAAGTACGAGTTCGATTGATTTAACATTCGTTTTTTCACTCGGCTTTAGGTACCTGTGGAACGTATGTTCCAACAGGGCTACCAACATTACGACGGCGCTGAATAGTGCTGCCGTATTGTTAGCGGTGCCATTACATCACCCTCCTTGAGAAACGATTTTTGCAAAGTGATCAGGCTTGGATCTGTTAAAATTATTAATTGTAATGATTTTAAAATTATATTCCCGCGATTTTTTAAGCTAGCAATCGTGAAATGACGGAAAAATTCATCGTCTTTTGGCCATTCAATCTCCTTAATTTTGTGTTTGCTGGTTTCAATTTCAAGCCTCGAAAGTAAATTATCGAAATTCATTATTTCGTTAGCAAAGACATAATTAAGTAACTCGAGTTTTTTGTGTTTAATATGTGCACAAATTCGTAAGTTTTTAATTTTATCATTTTTATCATAAGTAATTTCTGATCTAATACGCGGTATCTTTTTTGTAAAATTGTAAGAAAATTTATCATAAACGTTTAATTTCTGTGAGTTTTCGTGTTTGTTATTGTCTTTGTTTTGTATTATTTTGTCGTTTTCTCGTCTAGTCATTGATCTCGTCTGTACTGCCAAAATATTTTTCGTTGATTCCCTTATTTCGTCTATCGTTATACGTGAGAGTGCGTCTGCGCCTCGTGCGAGAGGAAATTTATCCGCAATAAGTTTTTTGTTGACTGCGGGGAAATCAACGCACATACGATATGCTTTTTGACCATTAGTAGACTTTTTAGGCACCAAAATTAGAGGACTATTGTAATTGGAATAACTTCCTTCAATTAAATCGTTATCTAGTAATTTATTAACTTGGCGAGTTATCTCTTCACGTTGGGAATATGGCAGACGATAATTTTTTACATATACCGGGTCAGTGTCAGTCAACCTTAGTTTCTGTTCATAAAAATTGTTTAATGTCATTTTCTCGTTGTCAAGAGCGAAAATGTCGGCATATTTTATGCAAAGGTCAAGTAAATTGCTGTTAGCTTTTGTAGGGATTTGGATTTTTAAAATTATTATTAATTCGTTCGTTCGGGGGTCTTCTGTCTTGGTCTTATTAATTGAGTAAACGTGATAGTCGGAAAGTTTTTCAGTCCGAATATTTACATTCTTTACATGTTTTACTTCATCTGTGGTATTTATAATTTTAATAATTGGGTTACCGCTATTAACTATGCATCTTGCTGTGAATACACCGTGTTCAACTTCCTGCGATTCTACAAAAAGTGGATCCGGCGAATTGCCAAAATTGAAAATTCGATAAACTTCGCATCTGGGTGGTATGATACAAGTGTCGCTTTCGGTTCCGTGTAGGATTGGTATCGCGACTTTTTCATTGCCTACCCAGAAGGAAATACAATTGCTTGCATAGCTAATAACGCATTTGTTACTTTTTAGAAAATCTTTACCCAGTATACCATTAGATGGTATGTTAAAATCATCGCTTACTACATGTAACGTATGTTTAATGTAAAAATCAGTAAAAGTCAAGATTATGGTAATTGTACCTAACGTAGAAACTGTATCAGAAGTGACACCGGTAATGTGAATTATATCGTTCGTATTTATAGAAAAATGTTTATCAATGCTAGAAAATTTGATTAAAGAAATGTCGGCTTGCGTGTCGACTAAAATCGTACAAAATTTGTTTGAACCATTAATTCGCAATTCAATAAAATCAGAGTAATTTAGATTTAGACAGTATATGCCTTTTGTTGAAAAAGAAGTATTTAGTTGTCCATTTCTTCCGCCCTCAGTGTTCGCTCCTGAGGGGCGTGGGCGTTTAAAGCGCGCACATTAGCATTACTGCGTGAATTTGGACGTCTATTACTATTATTGTTGCTGTTATTGTTTCGATTGTTGTTTGATGACCGATTCCTATTATTGTTGAAATTGTTACCGTTATGCCTTGAACCGTTATTGCTGTACCTACTGTTATCAGCGTTATTATTGTACCTATTGAAATTTGAGTTGTTTTGTCTGAAATTGTTATTGTTGTACCTATTAAAATTGTGCCCTCTGAAACTACCTCTAAAGCTATTTGGCCTATTTACTCGGGATCGAAACGCTAACACTTGGCGCTCTTTCACTTGATTATTTTGTTCGACTATCATTTTTGCTACTACGTCCTTTGAATCACTGAAGGTAGTTGACGATAAAATTGATTTGACCAAATCCGACCGAGTATTGAGTCTACAAACGTTTACTGTTTGCTCGACTGCCATTTCATGAGCCTTAGACTGTGTCATACCTTCAATGATCAAAGAGCGCTCTAAAGCATCCGAAAGCTCCTCGACACGCTTAGCAAATTCCGTATAATTGTTGTTTATGACATGTAAAGATGCAATTTTCCCAGCTACAACTTTCGAGTTGTCTGGCTTTATTCTATTTCTCAACGCATCTTTTATTTGCCTAACTGAACTAACTTCTGTTGGAATTGCTTCACGTGCCTTGCCTTCGAGTTTCGATTTCAAAAATGATATAAAAGTCGTATTTAAGTTTTCATCTGCAAAATCTTCAATTAAATTAATTTTGTCTATAAACGATTCAAGTGCTAGCGGATCTCCATTGTAATTTTCCCTAATGATTGAGGCACAAAGACTAATAAACGATTTTTTCTGTTCAGGGGTAGCCATGTCTAAAAATTCTTGAAAAAATTTAGAAATATTTGGTGAACTGGTAGCTGTTGACGGCTCGTCGGATATTGTTAGCAGATCTTTAATGGATGGAAGTGAAGTACTTCTTTTAAGACTGAATTGTACCGAAGCTTCTGACTTGGCGTCACTAAATTCTTCTTCTGACTCAGAGTCAGCTAAGTCTGATTGGCAAATTAGCGATAAGCTATCAGGTGGAATCCTAACGCGACAATTCAGTTTATTAAAGCACTTTGCTAACTGTTCCTTGCAACGAGCTAATTTAACTTGGACTTCTTTGAGATTACAGGTATGGGCCGAACTATTACCAATAACTAGTAATAAAATATTATTATAAGCTGTGATAAGCGAATATTTGTATTCGTTTAATTTTTTCGCATTCGAAGACAACGGCCTATTTTGTAAAATGCGTTTCGTAATCTTATCAAAATCTGCTTTATATACTTTAAATTGTTTATCGAATTCGCTCATAACCGGCTAATCTCAAAGAAGTGGAAACCCAACATGTACGAAAACAAGCTATCGTTCACCCTGTATAAAAAATAAAAAGAAATTGAATTATGAAAAATACTTATGTTTTTCTTCAGTAGGTCATCGGCTGAAAAATCGCATGCAACAAGGGGTTTTCATGCAGTTGGGATATCGGGGATTTCGTGCAGTTCACATGCAAGGCAAAAGAGTTTAATTTGTTTTTGAAACGTTTTAATGTATGTTTTTAATAAGAATTTATCGAATATAAACGGTTTTATTACACATGTACATCGGTATATGGGTTTGTAATCTTTTAATAAACTCCAGGAAGTTATATTTTGGTAAAAAAAGTATTTAAGAAAGAAAATCGATGTAATCGATAAGCATCCGCAAACAGTGCTAAGTCACTTAAAGCTAGTAATGTTATATTGTTGAGAAGAACGTCACTTATACCTAGGTGGATACATGGATCTAATTTCTTTATTGAAAATTCACTTTTTGAAAAATTTTTCAAATATAGGTTTAAGTTTAATGTTAAGTTTAATTTTTAGGGTTTTGTTTGGCTTGGTAACTTTTGATGTCGATGGCTTTTTTTTTTTGGAATCAGAAAAATATATTTAAATGGTCACTTGTAGCTAGAAATTTTTAATGAAAGCAAAATATCATCTAATAATAGGTATATGTATCATGAAAATGGGGTAATTAGAAATGCTCGTTTGTATCACTTTCGTACTAATAAGGAAAAATCAATGAATATGAATCAATCATTAAAATAAATATATATGTATATATTGTATCAATATTTAGGAATGAATATAATATTGTTTGAAATTCACTTGTCCCTGTCAGGACTGTCAAAATTTGCATGAAAGCAATGGTTTTAGTTTTTCTTTAATTCACACATCAAAATGTATTAGTATGTAAATTTTTTTTTTTTAAATTTTAGAGTCAAAAAGGATTTGAAAAAAATGTTTTAATTTAACACATTTGCCTGTTTTCCTTTGGCTTCGACAGTGAAATTTAAAAAAAAACGTGTGTACATATGTATAAGCAAAAGAATGTACATATGTATATTACATATAACGAACCGCTACCACTGCCGACTTGTTGCTCCCTCGCTGCAGTCTGTACATCAAAATACCGCAAATTACTCCGTTGGTTTGTTGCTATACTTCAGCCTCCCGCGCTGCTGTCTTAAAATGGTAGTTGTTGTAAATTTGTTACTATAATTTGTTGTTGGTCTCCTAATACTCTAGATATAGCGCGAGTATGCCGCTATGCGAACGGTCGCGTGGGGTACTGCACTATTTATCAGTGTACCTCTGTTTGGCTGGTGTTATGCCTGAACGCGACCGCCGTATGCCCAGTTACAGTGCACAATACTGTTGTACGCGCGTATGGGGCTTTCTATATTCGCGCGTGTGCGTGTGTGTATGGGAAGTGGCGTGACTTGCCTTAATTTTGCTGTGGAGTTATGTGCTAACTACGTAGTTGTTCGTATGTATATACATAGCGGTACTTTTGCGTACCCGTTGCCAAATTGCCGTTTGCTCGCGTACTGCTCACTGTACAGTTGCGTATATCTATATATATAGCGGTACTTTTGCGTACCCGTTGCCAAATTGCCGTTTGCTCGCGTACTGCTCACTGTACAGTTGCGTATATCTATATATATAGCGGTACTTTTGCGTACCCGTTGCCAACTGCTCGTGTACCTATTTCTCACTGTACAGTTGCGATAGTAATTATTACGCACTATAAAATTTAGCCACCACACCACTTCACACAACCGCTTTTTTTAATTTTTACTTTTTAATGATTTTTCATTTTTGCTCGGGTTGGCGCCCTCGGACACTTTGGCACCTTAGCCACGGTCGCCATGTTAAGTTTAAAATAACTCACCAACGTTGAAACTGCTGAGTGTTGCGATGCTTTAAATAAAGAAACTGCTCCTGCTGCGATTCCTGTGGGTGGTAGTTGATTGTTGCCGCCGAAGGTTATCTTGCCAATATGTTGGCTGAGCCGTTTTCCAACGCTCGCTGGATTTCGCCTCGCAGCAATTAACTTCTCAAGGGGCTACGCCCTAGTAGCCGAAAATAGCAGGATATTTTAAATTCTTTTCACTCGCGCAACTACTTACGGTTTTAGAAAAATGAAACACTTTGATTTTAACTTTAAATTACAAAAATGAGTTGAGTTTTATTTGCGCGTGTCCGCCAGGTTTGAAAGTACGAGTTCGATTGATTTAACATTCGTTTTTTCACTCGGCTTTAGGTACCTGTGGAACGTATGTTCCAACAGGGCTACCAACATTACGACGGCGCTGAATAGTGCTGCCGTATTGTTAGCGGTGCCATTACAATAGTATGTTCGACAATTATTTTTTGTATGGAGAAAATGAGCAACACCTTCGACTAAAAAAATTGCCAAAAACCAACGCGATTTTCAAGCACCTTCAAACTTGCACTTTCTTTAAAATTTAATGGGCTATAAAACTGCATTCCTAGAATTTTTCTAAAAAATCTTAATAAAAAGTTGCAAGTTTATTGAATTTTTCTGAGTTTTGCACAAAGTTTGGAGATTTGATATTTATGTTTTTTGGTTTAGTATGTGCCATATTTTTATAAAAAATTATCGCAAATAAATAAGATAAAAAACTTTGCATACATAGCTTAAAATTAACTGTGCCAGTACTTTTGTTCATCACTGTTTATATACTGGTGGCCCGATAATTAGAAACGATTTGTTTTTAAAAGTTTTGACCATTTATTTTTATGTATTACTTTTAATTTATTTTTTAAGAAAATGTATTTCATGTTACAACGAAAAATATGTAACTCAAAGTTTTAAACTTTGTTCAAGAGTGATAACAATTCGAGACAGTTCAAAAAATTTTCATCAAACTGCATACTTGAGTTCTAGAGATTCTTATTAAAGAGTTTGAAATTTTGATGTTAATTTTTTTGAACTGTGTCGAATTATTATCACTCTTGAACAAAGTTTAAAACTTTTAGTTACATAATTTTTGTTGTAACATGAAATATATTTTCTTAAAAAATAAATTAAAAGTAATAAATAAAAATAAATGGTCAAAACTTTTAAAAACAAATCGTTTCTAATTATCGAGCCAGCCGTGTACATATATTTATGTACAAATATACATTTAAGTACACTGGCTAATTCTAGAGCTACTTAAATCTAAATTGTACATTTTATTTGCAAATAAGTAATTGTTAAAAAACTAATATCGCATTTGTGTGAGGCCACCTTAACAAAACAAAAAAAATAAGCATTCAATTGCAAAATAAATATTTCAAAATAAATATTATATCCTGATAAGCAAGTATTAGGTTAAATCTTCTGAGAAGACACTTGTGTTGCTTACAGCTATCTTTTGAAAGTTTAAAATCACTTCCTGTACGGCCACCTTAAATTCTTTGGCGAGGAGTGGATTTTCGATATCCAGCTCCCGTCCACTTGACGAAACAAATGCTCCCAAATCGTCCCACTTGTCCGTTTTCGATGCCGAAGTTATTGTTTGCAAAGCACTCTCGACAGTCTTAGCAAAATCGGCGTCTTCTTTTTCCATGCGCCGCCGCTTTGCCGAAGGAGTTGGTGTTGTTTTGGATGTTGACGGCGTCGATTCCAAATCATCCGTTTCCAAAAACTCGACTTCATACATGATATCCGTTGGCTGTAAAGATAAAAACAATACCTATATACATATATAGAAGTCGATTAATTATATGCGATGTAGCCCTAAAAGCATTGATGAAAAGTCGTGTCGGTGCTATTGGTATTTTGGATTAATTGTTATAATATTTATGTAATTATATCGATATTACTCGGCAATAACGGCACAACTCAAAACTGAAAAAATAAGTCCTCACTGCTTTTAAGTGGCTAATGTCTCTAATCCTTGTATAATTGATGTCTAAGGGCCGGTTACTCAATGTCTGGTTAACACTAATCTGCGGTGAAATATCGTTATCGACGTCTTCGGCTCCATAATATACCACTGTGTCGGTAACGTCGATAACGATGTTTTACCTGTAGTTAGTGTTAACCAGACATTGAGTAACCGGCCCTAAGTTAATACTTTCGTAAGGATTTCTACAGTATGCAGTAAGGACTAGACATGGATAATTCAAGGATTAGATACATCAGCCACTTAAAGCAGTAAGGGCTTTTATTTTTTCAGTTTTGAGTTGTGCCGTTATTGCAGAGCAATATCGATATGTACACACATCCATCAAATTTGAAGTTGTAGAAGCCGCAGAGTTTAACGTGGGCTCCAAAAATTTCAGAGAGTTGTACAGCTGGCTCAGTTCACTCAGTCTTTTGGCGCTTTGACCACTTTTTGTAGTTGCCATTCTATTAAACGCCGCCTAAATATTGATATTCGTATTACATATTCGGATTACAAATACACAATTTTATTTTGTACTTCATTAAAAACTTACGCGGAAGGAACACCGAAGGCTATTCCATTTTATAGTCACTTCTAATCGTGGCAATTCTATTTCCTTTGCTACATCATCCCAAAGAGCCTCCCTTAAGTTTCTGTCCCTGTATTCTCTGGACAAGTAGTTCCAAAGGCCCTCCCGTATCTGGACAGCTTCTATAAGCTGTTCTGTTTGCTGGCTTCCGCACCCGCTTCTTGGTGTTGGCAATTGTTGCGCTTGAATTATCCATTTTGCTAAAATTGTAAGTTATTAATTAAGTGGTTACTCAATTTTCATCCAAAAATTACCTTTTAATGATTTGAAAGTCACTTATTTTCCATAAAAATGATTAAATTAAAGAAGTTTTAAGATTTTTGGTTATCGCGCCTATCCAACTGTCAAACACAATGAATTTGACAACATGCTGGCAAATGTATTTTGGATGTAAAATGTTGCCACATGTAATGATTGACATCCAAATATCCGTTCTCATTTGGACGTCATTTCACTGAGCCAAATATGTCGTCAAATGAAAATGATCCCATATGACAACCTGTTTTCACCTAAATGCCAACTGTTGCCACTGAATATGCCAAAATGAAAACCAGCCTTAAGTAGTTTCGACTTAGTTTACGATATAGCAAAATGAGTGTGAAAATGTATCGATTTTTCTTTACGATATTTTGGAAAAATTACATTTTTATTAAATAATGTCAAGTTTGATCATCCGTTTATGTAATTTTTATTTTCATTCCATGATTATACGAAAGAATAAGGTACCATTTTCTTGTTAATTGTGTGAAATAGCCAGAACCGCAGTGATGTGAAGTCGATGTTTATCGAAAGCATGGTGTGAAACATACAAATAGTAGATATCTAAATGTTATGCACAATTTTACTTTAAAAGAACTAGCGTGAAACTGACTTATTATTTGAGAATTTATCTAAATTATTCCAATTATAAATTTGTGATTTAGCTTTATTCGAATTGTAATACGCATTTAATTTGATCTTCCGAATAAAATGGATCTTTGTAAATTTTAATTAGAGATTATTCAATATTATCAAAATCACCCTCTACCAACTTAATTTTTACATATTTCGTCTGTTTTCCCTTGATAAAATACTTCTTCCTAGTTACGACTTAGTTGCAACTGCAGCCGAAACTAAATTTTAAGTTGGTACTTAGCCAGAAAAGTCGAAACTAAGGCGACTATGAATAGCTTTAGTTGTGACTTAGAATAGTTTCGACTTAGTTGAGTACTAAATATGACTATCAATATGCGCCTATCTTTTTATGTCTCAATTATAGCAAAAAGTAGGATTGTCCAATATTCATCGATATTCGATTTTATCGATGATAAGACGTAAAATATCGATTTTTTATAATCGATCTCGGACTATGTAGAACATCGCCACATCGATACCTTGCACACATAATCGAAGTGCTGATGATTCCAGATCGTAACTGTTCATACATACATATGTACATACATATGTAGTTACGACTTTTGCATTTCAGGTGACGATATACCTGAACGTGGTGGTACGTATGTAAAACTATGATTCATAAAAAAGGCGAAGGTAGTAAATTAATTGATTTGATTTTAAGTTTTTTGATAAATTTTTTTAAACAAATCTGAAACTTATTCATAATTTTGAGGCAGCAAGAATGAAAACAAATAATGTTAAAAATTGCGCGAACGCTTCCAGTAGAACAGGGCTCGGATCGTCACATACGATATCGTACTACTCGTTACGTAAAAACACAATTTTCGGATTATGACACACGCGAACGTACTTTTTGTCCCATTCAGCTTATACTGTCTGTCGTATCTCGTAATTTTCTTTCGTATCGTTTTCGATCCGTGAACGGATGTTACAATTCGAGGCCTGCTTAATTCTGATGAGCACGGGAGCAATTCCGTATTTTAGAATGATATCGATATTGTGTAAAATCGATGATTGTCGGTCGATGAAAATCGAGGATCGATGTTGACCCTCCGATGTCATCAACGATGAAAAAATCAAAGATTTCTCATCATCGCCCATTCCTAGCAAAAAGTTGAGTAATAACGAAGATATTTGGGGTGTTCACAGTTGGTTCCAAATTGTGTCTGAAAATGTAGACGTCTACATTTTGAGACATTTTTAGCATCAAACTGTGAGCACCCCTTTCTAGCAGTCGTCGCAAAATCGTCTCAAAACTTTGCTGGTGTTGCCAGACATTTCTTCTTTGCGTGCTTTTTTATATGTCGCCTTTCGATTTTGTTTCTGAAAAATTGTAATTATTTAACTTAATTACCAATTCCTAATATTTGTTATTTCTTTTCCTTGATTTNCGTCTACATTTTGAGACACTATTTGGAACGAACTGTGAACACCCCAATTGGTCAAAGTAAAAAACTCACGCTCACGCTCGCATTGAACTGTATATCAGGCTTTATGGGGATAAAGTTTTGGTAGCATAAAATTTCTTACACGCACGGTTGCTTATCATCACTAATGAAATACACTTTAGAATTAATTAGAATAAAGTTTCGTTTAGTGCATTAATTTTACAAATAAATACAAATATACGGATTTACTTTAATATATAAATATCAAGGAAATTGTAAAGCCCCCGTTTTATGATAAATTTGTTACAAAATAACATTGCTTATCGGAACGCTCTAAGCGCTGCCGCTTAAAAGTTGCTTTTCGTACGAAAACAGCCCTGGCCCTTGTTGTTGCTGTATAGCATCTTAACAAACAAAGAAAAAAGTAATTTATTTCCCAAATTTATAAATTTGTTTGATGTAAATATACTTATTTTAGGTACATAGCAAGGTGGAAGTTTCGTGAAAATTTGAGCACTCGACATTAGGACATCATTTATGTACTGCGTCCTTGATTAGCATTTTACTTGCATTGTTAAATACATCACATATTATCACTGCATAAATATGTATATCACGCCGAATGAGGGAAAAAGTATACTTAAATTATATAATAGTTCAATTCTATTGCAAAACGTTTACAAATTCACTCTTTTGTTTTGGTTTTCTAGCTCAATAATAATGTTCTCAGTGATGCATTTTCGGTTTACGAAATTCTTGGATGATGTTCTCCAAAATTAGCTCCGAGCAACTTTAAATGAAATACCTTCTTACTGCTCTTGTTAAATTTAAAAAAAAAAGGTTCAATTCCAGAACAATAAAATAGAATCATGTATGAAATTAAGAAAATAAATATTTATTTATTCCTATCAGGAATATTCTGTCGGAATCAAATGATGAGTACTCGAATGCCTACAACTTGTACTTTTAGCTAAGTGTTTGGCCAATCTTCTCCAATTTGTGGGTCGTGTCTTGATTTAGGTAAATTGTTACAAAATTGTATGGGAATATGTATATATCATATATGTACATATATTATTGTATATGACTACAATTTATAATAGAAGGCATATCAATTTATAAAACATTTCCATTCACATTCACCATTTAAATTAACAAATCTAAATATATGTGTTTTTACGTTTAATATGGTTTACATTTAACTAAATTATTTGATTACACATATTCTTTAGATCACTTCGACTTGTAGACAATAACACTTATTAGTATTATCAAAATAAATATACAATTACGTTAAGTTTTATTAATATAGTGAAGCGAATCTTTAATATATCATACATTCGATGCTAAAATATTTCACCACATTAAATTGCTGCACAACACCCTAATTGCCGAAAAACCGTTGTCTGCAACCCTAAGTCCTTTATGGGGGCCAAATTTGGCGGAAAAACAGCTCAGTTTGTTTACTGGATATACTGAGTACTTAAGTGCGAAGTTTTTATCCCGAACGCATGTATTTCACTGAAGCTCTGTAATTTATGATCCATAATCAGTGTGACCGTTTTAATCCAAGTGGAATTTTTCGATGAATTTTGGAAGGATACTTTTTAAATTTGATACTTTTCGAATCATGTAAAAAAATTCCCGTTGAAGCCGAAAAACTTACCAGTAGTGCGTTTCTGTTACTACGTTTATGCGTAAGCTATTTGCAAATAAAAATAATTTGCAAATACCTAACTCACTGTTTATTCGATGATGAAAAATTCTTTTTTAATATTGCCTGATTATAATAGGGCGATAATATGACCATCGAAAAAAAAATTAAGTTAAAAATGGCAACGTCTTGATTATTAAAAGGCAATAAGATGACCATCGAAACAGAAAATAAACCTAAGAATGGCGGCGTCTGGCTCTTATTTGCAAATAATACCAATAACCAATACTTAATTGCGTGATTTAGGGCCGGTTGCTCAAAGGCTGGTTGACACTAATCATCGATTAACAACGTTATCGACGTTTTCGACTCCATGCATATAACACGGTGTCGGTAACGTCGATAACGATGTTTAACCAGGGATTAGTGTCAACCAGGCTTTGAGCAAACGGCCCTTAGTTATTTGCAAATAAAAAATTAACTCTGCGTTTATACGGCAAAGTTTACCATTTTGCAAATTGTTATTTGCAAATAATACGTGCGTATAAACGTAGTATGTAACTAATGCGATATTATATCGCAAATTTGGTCATAAAGCGGTATCGCATAGTTGAAATCGCAAACGATACCCGAAGTATTTCTATAAAGCTCAATACAATAGCGAAGTGGCAGTGCCAATTTTTAAAATCCTCTGTTACTGCTAATATTGGCAGTCACTGCCGCAGCAAACACAATACGGCGTTGTCAGTGACTGCTTTTTTTGACATTCTCTTTTGTTTGTTTAAATTTTTTTGTTGCCTTTTAGGCTTCAGTGACATCAACCAATGTTGGCTGTGTTTCATTTATGTCAAATTCAACATGCGAAGTTTGCTGCGATGAAGGCAGGGGCAGTGAATTTAGAATTTGGGCCAAACTGAGCAGTACTGCTAGCTGCCACTGCTGTATTGTAAGTCGCTTCATTGGACACCACACTTTTTAAGAAACAGCTGCCACTGCCACTGCGTTATTGTATTTTGGGCTTAACTCAAAATCTCACCTTGCGATATATTGGTGGTGAGTTTTGCAAAAATTACACAAATCACACATCAGAATGAAGAACATATGTTATTGTGTACTTGTGGCAAATTGAAGCAAAAAGTGAGAAGTTTTATATATTTTGAGCATTAAAACATTTAATTGATTAATGTAGGAACAAAAACCAAAGTATGTGCATTTTTAAATAATTCAATAGTTTTTTCAATGTCAACATATAAATGATGATTGCTTATCTATTATTTAAATTCAACTTATCAAGTGTGTTTGTTAACAAACATAACAACATACATACAAACATTCATTTCTTTGAAAATATAGTGCGCTTCAGATTTATTGAAAATATATGCACAAACCAAAAAACGGTACAATTTCTTTTTACAATACCTGCTTGTAATGTTTTTCACAAAAAAAATTTCTTAAATTTGTTACAAAAATATAATTCTATAATATAAACTATCTGAACATAGTTTCAAACTCGTTTTAAAATTCAGAAAAGCTTGCCAAATTTTCAGGAAAATTTCAAACTATTGGCACATATTTTGAAATTTTTTTAGTATGCAGCTTTGCAGCATATTCAATTTTATCATAATAATATTCTGATTTGAAGTTGGTACAAAACCCCGAAAGATTCTTGATATT